AGGAGGGGGCAATGTTATATGAGCCATTTCATTATTCAGTCATGCTCTAAACCTACAAGTCCATCTCTGTCTTATTTGGCCTTTGAGGCTCAACTTGTCCGATTATTATACATAATTAAACCCCTTAAGACCAAACCTATGGGACGACTATGGCGTAGGTGATTTCGATGACTATTCTAGAAAGGACGAGATATTTCTGGTCTGTTCCAAATATTTCTAGTTTGGTGGACTCCACCAAACTTTGGAAATGTATATATAAATATTGGTGGAAGAACAGAGTGCAGTTAGTTATTATATGGACAGTGAAAATAAATAGTAATTAGTAGATAGACAGTGGTGAATATAAATAGTGATCATTTTAAAGACATTTGAAGTATATATAAATTAGAATAGTTGTGTTATAAAATAAATAAGTGTTTAGATAAATTATTATTAAATAAAATGTTGTTTTAAAATAAATAAACATCACATTACTTTGTTACTAAGATAACAAACGAAGGAATGATTTTTTTTAAGATAAAAGAAACACCATAGTACAGGCATCGCATCCTAATTTGTCAGTAGTGGGGTAAAGTTTGCGCACTGCTGACACACCTTTAAACGATCTTACTGGCTACTATTAAAGCTCAGTAGCGTATACTACTTTCGATTAAAATAAATTTTCTAGGATTTTTAAAACGATCACGGTCAAATTTTAATCCTTAATAACGGGCAAATCAAGTCCGCCCTCGTTTCTAAGAATGTTCTATCAACAGTGCCTATAATTTGATGGTATTATAGAAAATACCAGATTACCTACACAATGGATCAAACGCAATTATGTAAATAGGTTTTTAAGTACTACAGAATTTGTTAAAATTTATTTGTTATCTATGAGCTAAAATGTATTCTGTTAAAAAAATTTATTGGGTAAAAAAAATGGTGATTTTGCACTTGATATCTTTATTATTTTAACAAAATGTGAGGGTGAAGTAGAAGTGGTAAAAGTCATCAGCATACAAATATTAAAATAAGACAACGAGGATTTTTAAAAAAGTATGTTATAGGTCAACAAATACAGAATTTATACTAACCTCTATTCCTTGTTGCTATAACTACTATCAAACAAAATAAACAAACAAATTAACAGAATTCTAAAAAATCGTCATCAAAATCATCACTATCACCAGAACTATCACTGCTGTCTTCATTAACATTAATAATAACTGTAGGAATTACAACGTCATCTATTATAAATTCGCGATCTAAATATTTATCTTCGACAGCTATTACATGTGTACATCTTTTTTTCCAGTCTTCTTAGGTTACTGATTTAAATTCAATTTCAGCTAACATTTGTACCTACATGTGCTAATTTAAAATGAATTTTCATTATAGCTACATTATTTTTTACTACAGCCCAGATTATTTCTGTTGGATTTAAGTCTGGGTGGTATGGTGGTCGTAATAAGGAAGGTTGAAATTCAATATTGTTGGACGTCAACCAGTTTATCATTTCAGCTTTTCTTGAATTTGATTTCGGAGCAGGATTTTCTATAACATTGTGACACGGTGCATTATCCACAACTACAATAGCATTTGGTGGTAAATTTAGTATTAACAGTTCTCTTAGCCACTTCTTATAATTTTTTTGATTCATATCATTATGATAATCACCAGATTTGGCCCCAGACACAAACAAACTGTTAGGAATAAAGCCCATGTCACCACCAGCATAAACTATAATAAGTCTCTTTCCTTTCGAAATGGTGGAAAACAAACCTTTTGCATTATCATCACTCCGATTATGTGATGATGTATGGCTACTATGTATATAAGTTTCATCAATACGAGGATGTATCAGAAAATAACGAGACTGGTGCAATAGTATAACAACGAAACATTTATTTAAAAAAATTCAACAACTATCCTTTGAAGTACTCTCCATTCTGTTGAATACACTTATTCCATCGCTTTATCCACTTATCATAAACTTCTGAGAAACCATTTTTTGATAGTCTGTTTAGTATACCCATCACAGCGTTGTTAAGCTCTAAATCCGACTCAAATCTTCTACCTCTCAATTCTTTTTTAACTTCAGGAAACAAATGGAAGTCACATGGAGCAAGGTCAGGAGAGTAGGGGGGATGAACCATAATTTCAACCCCTAATTCTTTAATTGTTCATTGACAAATCATTGATCTATGAGCCGGAGCATTGTCGTGATGCAGCGTCCAGCCAAAGTCCTGATAAAGCGGCCTTTTTTTCTTTAATTTTGCCTTTAAGGGTCCTCGAAGTACATTAGAATAGTACTCCCCTGTTACTGTATGTGCTCTAGGTACAATGTGATCGTAAATAACGCCAAATTTATCAAAAAAAATCAGGTGCGTCACGTTACCAGCGCTTTTAGCAGTTTTGGCCTTCTGCGGTCTTGGGCTGCCTTTATGCTTCCATTGCATACTTTGAGACTTCAATTCAGGATCGTAATGATAAAACCAACTTTCGTCACATGTAACCACATTATTTAAAAACTGTGGGTTACGTTGCAATTGCCTTTTCCACTGCTGACAAATTGTCACTCGATTCGCTTTTTGTTCATCGGTCATCACTTTTGGAATCCATCTTGCCGCGATCTTCCGGTACTCTAAATCTTCATGAATAATTTTTTGAGTGGTACCGTAAGACAAATTAACATTGTCAGAAATTCGTTTTATGCCAATCCGGCGATCATTTTGTATCAAGTCGTTAATTTCTACAATTTTTGTGTCATTTCTCGCAGTTTGTGGTCGACCAGGACGAGGTTCATCTTCAACTGATTCACAACCGTCTTTAAACTTTTTATACCACTTAAACACTCTACATCGTGATAAACTATTATCTAGATATGCACCTTTAATCATTTCAAAAGTTTTAGTTGTTGTTTTATCCAATCGAACACAAAATTTTATCGCGTATCTTTGCTCCACTTTCATTTTTCGATGGGTACGCCAAACACTGACAATTCAATAATTAATTTGTAACAAATGTCAAAAGTTAAATCAAAGCCTACTTGCGGGGTAGTACATTAAATATAAGGCTTTCATGTCTCATTTTTTGGGTTATAAAATTTTACCTCTGAAAGAAGTTATTGCACCAGTCTCGTTATGTACTGATATATCCTCGTATATACAATGGGATGGTTTTGAGGAGGAAAATATCTATTTTTTTAATATAATCTATTCTTTTTTCCCTGATGTCAAGCCGTTCTATTAGAACCTGTCTGTTGTTTCGTGTTTTTCGCCACTTGAACCCATTTTTTTTTTAAATAGTTCTTAATGATGTGTAGTTCCCTTTCCACTCAATTTCCTTTTCTAATTTTTCACTAAGAGTTTTGACTGTTACGCGCATACCTTCTGTTTCGTGAAACTATATCTCTGATTGTTCCAATATTGTAGGATGGAATATCTGTTACACTTGATGTTCTTTTGCGCTTTTCTGGACTTTTAAACAATTGTTTAGGTATGGTCGACGTAGACTTTTCATCTTTTGATATCTCTCACCTTCTATAATTTTTCGTTCAATTGTTTCTCCCGAGTATCCTGCAGCTTCAGCAACTTGTTCTTTAATTTTAGTGAGAGTTTTGGGATCATTGTTCACAACACATTGTCTATAAGTTTCACTATCATCGTTGTTTTCTTTTTTCAAAACTATTTGTTGCCGAGGAACATTTTTTTTCATAAAATATTCGAATAGATGAAATATTATTTCCTTTGCTTGACTACCTAAATGTTTCGGCATTTTAACAAAAGTAAGTCACTATTAAAAAAAAACACTACAAATAAAAATAAAATATAACTCAAAATCTACACGCTACACAAACACAAATTCAAGAAAATATTATCATCTACTGATCGCCTCCGACAACACGGCTATTGCAGTGTTGCCACACCAATTAATTTTTTCGTAATAGAATTTTGAACCAAAAGGTAATAAAATCGTAATAGATAATATTTTAAAGTAACATAAATGTACCAGAACTATTATTACATACATTTAACAATAAAACTTTAATATTATTTAGTTGAGAAAACATTACTTTTGCTGCTGCAAAAGAATGGAGTAGTGATAATAAACCACTAATAATTTTTTTAATTTTTTAATATTTAGTTCATCCAGTGAATTTTTTTATTTTAAAGATTTTAGCCCAAAATTCACCTAAAGGTAAATTTTTGTAATTTAATGTTTCTTCAAAGTTTTGAAGGATTCTAAGTTATTAAAAACAATATACAAATTATGCTGAAATGCTGGAGGCTGGTGGTAATCCCCTACTAAATTAAAAACTGACCCATAAAAAATAATACAATATAATAAAGTGACGCCTATCTTGGATTTGTTGAAACAAGAAAACACAGAAATAACAAATGCATAGATTTCTAAAGTTTTGTAAGTATAAGCTCTGAAGTTTAAATAGAGCCACTCATAAAATTTCGATATTTTAAAAAGTAATAGATTTATCCTCATTTCTTAAAAGTCGTAATAACGTACTGGAGTAACTTTTTAGTAATAGATTTGTTACAATTGTAATAGCAACGGCAACACTGGGCTATTGTATGCACCTCTCTTTAACAGTTACAGTAGGCGTTGACAATTGAAATTCGAGATTACCGCGCATCCCCTCTTCAGACAAATTAGGTTGCGATGCCTGTACCTTAAAACTAAATTTAAAAATTTACCTGGGTATATTGAAAAGTATAAAAGCTTTAGGCATTTGTATATGTGATACCTATTTCGTGTTAACTAGTTATTATAATTTCATAATCATTTAATAACATAAAAATCTCCGATAAAAGGAGGAGAATGCTAAGTAGGAAATAATTTGTTTTATAAATATATAATTATTACTATATTTATTTTAGGTGTAGCTATATCGCTATTTAATTTACATTGATTTTTATTTTTTAGCCCCATAACTAAATTCCTTATGATCTCCTTTCCATTAATATTTAAACAAAAAAATAAAAAGAAAAATAGTATAGAGTTACCTATTTTCTGTGGTTTCTTTGGTTGTTCCACTTTGGATTTGACTCCGTTTAACTTAGTAGTATTCACAGCCATACTTCTGTAAGATATTGCTAGTTGTTCGAACAGATCTCTAAGATCTTTCCTAATTAGTAAACTATAATAATAAAAAAAACAATAATCAGTTGTTTATTCGAAAAACTGGCGACTAATATCAAAATATTTAGGGCCAATCTTTTCACCTCTGAGTAAAGTTGAAAGTAACTAATTGGTGATTAAACTCTAGGGCTATTGTTTGTTAATCTATCAAATAAACCTACATGTAACTTTACTCAGAGGTGAAAAGATCGGTCCTTATTATAATTGATTAATTACCTACCTGAAAGAACGAAAAAGAGTAACGAAATCTACAAAATCCAATTGGGTATCGTAAAGAATTGAGCCGACTCTGGGATGCCTACCATGCCACAAGTGTTCCGTTGAACCATGCCGATCTCTAGAAGATCAGAATATGTAAATAAAATAAAATACAATATAATTTAAAGTTAAAATAAAGTAACACAAGCAAATCTCAAAACTATATGTCACAAAATAATACGAGCGACTGTTTCCCTACAAAAAAAAACAACTACTCCTTTAGCTAAAATCACGACAATATTTAGATTATACAGGGCGTCCCTGTACCATTAGACGTAATTCTTCAATATTTTAATTTGCGTTATTAACACGCAAACAAGTTTCAATTAAAAATTAGAGAATGATTCAGACCCCAAATTAAATTATCATAATTTAGGTAAATTTGTTTAAAATACAGTCTAAAAGATACTGAGCTAACGAATAGTGGTGATAGAACTGATTTATTCTATACAGAGTGTCTTAAAACATATCCTAAACATGGCATAATTTGAGTTCAATTTACTCTATTTTTCAAATACAACACCCTGTATATTATTTTAGCAAAAAATTCCTTATATATTTACCTATCTAACAATACTAACATGTTAGCCAATAATAATGTAACGATAGTTTAATTTATTCATAGTTTATTTATTTAAAACACACTATTTACGACATACTAATTAATTTATATAATACTTAGGCACTAACTCACAATTATAATTTATTTAATACAATTTATCTTTCCAGTCCAATACTTTATTCTAAACTACTCGTCCGTCGACGAGATTGCGCTATTTATACAAAGCCCACTCTATACGAGAAGTCTCTAGACGATGTTGAATGTCCTAGAATTTCATCTTTATGACTCAACGTCACGTATCGCTTGTTCTGGTATATTCGAGAAGCGTCAGCGGCATTTCGATCATGAGTGGGGGTGGCAGACTTAAAGGTTGCTTGCTAGACGTCACATTGCACCGTCCTTAAGAAATAGTTCCTTCTGGAACTAAAACTGAATGATTGTATCTGCAACTGGATTCTCTTTTACAATTTCCAGTTGCATGTAAGTAACAAGGGACGGTTTTTATTGAAACCTGAACCCTGGGCGAATTGCTGCAAATCAGTATTCGGACCTCGAAATCTTGGAAGATTACTTTTAGCATGTTTCTAACGATCCTCCAATTTAGCTGGTTGCTCTCTATCCTTGGCATGGCTAGTTTATGTACATTGGACTCCAGTACGTGCTCCCTCCGACTAAGTAATGCATCCCAGTGGATCGATCTCGGAAGGTGGTCTTCGTTATCAAATAGAAAAGGGCTCACGTTATCTTTTCTTGAAGTTTAAATGCTTTTCCAAGGGCTGGTAACTGATCTTGAAGTTCTGGCAATCGACCAAAACTTCTTCTGGAACACAGATGCCAGACCTCGAGCGTCGTTGATATTGACGGAAGTACTATGGACCAGCGAGTAATCTTTAAGAACCTTGAGCAGGTCTTATTGGTGCTCGGTTGTAGCATCATGTCTTGCTTGTCCGGTACCTCCCTATGCACCCATAAATTCTTCAAAGACAAGGTCAAGTATTTCTTGGAGATGATTTAATTCTTCTTCCTCTTCATGGTCGCCCTCAAATGTACAGCAACTGGCACGGTACTGTCCCCATATAAATGTAGGAATACCTCTTCGGCACCAACTTATTTGATCACTCTGTTCTTAAAGTCCAACTGGAACCCTGTAAGTTCATTACATCCATTCCAAGAATAACATCATCTTCGATATCAGCGACAACAGTATAAGGGAACTTTTCTAAACCAATTCTCAATTAAACCTGGATTTTCCCATGGATGTTGGCACTTTCACCTGTGGCAGTCCGCAGTCGGAATCTTGTTGGTAGAATATTCTTACGGTTATTTATGGTTGTTGGTCGTATAATCGTCCTAGTTGCTCCACTGTCCATCAACAGTGTATACTTTTTACTATTTACTTCGACGTCTAAGTATACACTATCATCGCGACATTTCAAAGAGGCTATCAGTATGAGAGAGTCTTTGGAACGGTTTCGGGTCGAAGCTGACCCCTGTAGGCCAACCCGCTCTAGTTTTCCTGTGGCGTGTTGTCTTCATTTGTTGGGACCCTAGGGCGTTTGCACGAACTACGTACATGTCCCAGTTCACCGCAATTCCAGCACCTGATGGTCTTTGTCTTCATCTTTTTATCAGTAAAGCTCTTCACTATGTTAACTAGTTGGTCGAGTTTATCTTCTACGTTTTCTTCTTCTACAGTTCTCACTTTACTGTATCCTCCAGAAGCCTGCGTAGCTGCCTCATACTCTAAAGTAGTGATAAAGACATCGACCAATGTTTTGTGGCGGGCTAAGTGAAGTGTTTTCTGCATCTTGTGGTCACGGAGTCCATCAACAAATGTTTGGACTGCTAAACATTCCATCATGTTTTCCTGAGCTGATGGGTAGGCAAATCGCACCAACCTGGCAATATCTACTTCATATTCTTGAAGAGTCTCGTATCGTTTCTGTTTACGATTCTTTAACTGTTATTGGTACAAATTCTTCAAATGTTCGTGACCGTATCGCATATTTTGTCTCCTTTTTGAGTTACTCAAAATCATCTGTCTCTTCCACGGGTATAGTCTGAAGGACATCTAAAGCGTCTCATCGAAGGGCGATTGTCAGATTAATTGCCTTTTCTCTCTCAGACCATTCGTTTGCCCTCGCAGCCGTCTCGAACTGTTTAAGGTAGTTACATGACATCTTTCCGTCGAAGGTTGGGACTTTAACACGACCAGAGCTTACAGATCCTTCCAATTTACACTTCGACTTTTTATTTCATCGTCCTTGACTGGTTCTGAATGTTCCAGTTCTTCTATCTTCTTCCCTATCTCTTGTATTTTCTCCTCAACGGAAGACATTATTTTATTCTCAACGGAAGAAATCTTATCTTCCATAGAAGAAATTTCGCCTTTTATGGAAGATATTTCGGAAGAAACCTTTTCTTCTAAAGAAGAAATATTAGACGAACATTTAATTTTTCATAGAAAATTTTGTTTTCCAAGTCGGAAGAAATTTCGGTTTTTAAAGAAGATATGTCAGAAGACACATTTTCTTCTAAGGAAGAAACTTTACTATCTAAGGAAGAAACTTTACTATCTAAGGAAGAAATATCTGAAGAAACTTTACTTTCTAATGAGGAAATGTTAGAAGAAATATCGGTTTTCATAGAGGTCATATTAGAAGACATTTCGATTTTTAAGGAAGAGATCTTACTTTCCACGGAAGAAATTGTTGCAGAAGATGTATTATCCGAAAATAGATATGTTTCCGGATACAATCCTTATATTCTAGTGCTTCCTTAAGGCGTTCTGCCAGCTCTGCTGTCTTCCCTGTTGTCTCCAGATTACGATCTTCTAGTTCTCGACATGGCTCAGACACTTTTAAATCACACAGTTTTTAGGCATTATTGTCCACTATTTATTTGCAGTTCCACTTCTAACACCAATGTACTATTTACAATTTATTTATGACATACTAATTAATTTATATAATACTTAGGCACTAATTCACAATTCTAATTTATTTATTACAATTTATCTTTCCAGTCCAATACTTCATTCTAAACTACTCGTCCGTCGACGAAATTGTGCTATTTATACAAAGCTTACTCTGTACAAGAAGTCTCTAGACGATGTGGAATATCCTAGAATTCCATTTCTCAACGTCACGTACCGCTTGTTCAGGTATATTCGAGATGCGTCAGCGACATTTCGATCATGAGTCGGGTGACAAGCTTGAAGGTGGCTTGCTAGACAGGGTTAGCTCCGCGTCACAATACATCGTTGCGTAATCAATAGCTGTTTTAATATTGGAAATACGAAAAAAAGTAATATAAATTTTCTTAATTATACAAAGTGGTCTATAAACGAGGAGCTGACCAAACATATATATTTTTAAAGTAATATACCCTGCAGGAAGTTATACACATTGCCAAAACATTTTAATAGACTTTATTTATTTGCTATATTGTATATAAGGTGTGTCAAAATGCGGGGTAATGATTTTCTTAATTGTTTAAAAGGAATATCCCATATTTTATATGGTCAAGTGGTGTAAAAGTGAGACAACCAAAACTCTGGGCAAAAACAAGGCAGTAACTTTACATTTTCTCATTTTTCTACAAAAAATGCAAATGTTTGAAATTTTAGTTTACAACTTATATGTCTTATATGTCTTCCAATTTTAAAAGAAAAAATGATTAACTAATTTATTATACAATCACATGTTGCTAATAGTATCGTACAATTCTATTGTAATAGATTGGTATATCTTAGAACATATAATCATATTATCGGACCTCGCATAAACACCACAGGGTTACCTCAGGGCTCAGTTTTGAGCCCCTCTTGTTCAATATGTATACAGCCGATCTCCATAAACTTAATATTTTTCATATTCCTTTTAAAATTATACAATATGCGGATGATGTTTGTTTTTATACTGAACACCGAAAATATGAAAATGTAGTGGGATCATTGGACTCCACAGCAAATAAACTAAATTCTTGGTTAATCAAAAATGGATTTCAATTATCAGCAGATAAATCATCAGTTACAATATTTACTAGAGATAATTTGCCAAATAATAATAATATACGACTTAATAACGTAGATTTCACAATAAAAAACGAAAAAAAATACCTAGGGTTAATCCTTGACAGAAAACTCACGTGGAAATCGCACATAGAATACATGTTAAACAACTGTAACAAGGGACTGAATTTTCTGAAAATGGTTGTAAAAACCTGGTGGGGTGCTGATGTAGAAACAGCTTTATTATTTTATTGCGCTTATTTGAGGTCAATATTGGACTACGGTTGCATACTTTATGGATCTGCTAGTAATAATTTATTAAAAAGAATAGATGTATTTCAAAATACAGTTTTACGTTTATGTCTTGGAGCAATGACATCAACACCAATTAATCCTCTCCACGTAGAAGCACTTGAACCTCCACTAGAGTATCGACCGACATATCTTAGCGAGAAATTTCTGGCAAAAGTACACCTTCAAAACATAGAACTTTTTAGAAATATTA